TTACATCATTGTGGGGAAATTCAACTATCAGTCTCCTAATCACCTTGAACGAAATAGAGTGAATACTCATGTAAAGGATCTTGTGGTAGACTAGAAAACCTACTTATAAAATGGAAAACTAACTTGTATAATCTTTGTTATATTGGTTCTCTTCTAGCTACTAAATATCAGAGCTAATTTAGTTTTTTAGGTTTCGACTTTTTAACCAGTTAACATCGAAACTGTAGTGCAATTTCTTTCGAATTATTTAAATTTTAAACAATCAGTAATTCATTAATTAAAACCTATTTCTGTCTGGCCGAACATGGTAATTTAGGGACTGATAATAGGGTTTTCCTCATTTTGGGCTATTGAAAGTATCATCTATATGAAAAAATGTTTAGATAAATTACCCACAATATGCTATAAAAATCCACTTTACCTTCATAAAGCGTCGAACGCCAAATGTCGGTTAAAAAGAATCGGCATCCATCTTTCATGTCCTGCTCTATAGTATCTTTCTATTCTTATTCTTACCATTCCTTGAGCCTCATGCACTCAAGCATATGAACAAATGTATTTATTTGCTCAACTTTATTTTTCACTCAATCAAACTATAAAAAACCATGCCTCCTCTTTACCTCACAGTTGGCAGTTACCCAATCAGATCTTATAATGCTATACAGAACTTGTACATATCGGCGGCAGAAGTAAGCATATTAGATGTATTCACTCTATTACGTCCAAGAAGATGAAGGATTGGTAGTAGAATTTACCCATATTGATATGAGTAGAGTTGGCATTTCCATTGGAATTCACATTGCCTTGCTTTCCCAAAAGTTGTCCTCATCCAGGGTGGACTGGAGTTTCATATAATTGCGGGAAATTTCTACTACCCGTCCTTCATCACCTTAAACGAAATAGGGCAAATACATCTCATATAACTGATTTACTGGTAGTCTCAAAACTCTGCTTATGTATGAAAAATAAATAGACATAAGCTGACAAAAGATTGATAATTGTTCTGTTTACTTCAATTTCTAGTGAAAGTGTTTGTTGAAGAGATTCGACGGTCGATCCCATCAGAAGACGATGGCGGATTCTTCTTGACTAGCTGTTGATTGGCTTTACTGAAGCATTCTTGTTGACTGCTTCCGAAGCAGTTTCCTTCGGTTCCAGTGAGAACGTGCCTTACTTTCGCCAGTCTTATTACGGACATCATCAGATCAAGGTATCATCCTTGAAAACATTTGAAAGCTGACAACTCAAGAAAACTCACCGCCTTATCCCTAAATGCCGTATATGTATCCTCTCTCTAAGCTCTTTAATGAGTTATAAATGATTTGTTTAGTTCAAATCATATGCCAACCTCGAAGCTTATGGGTATGTCTGTCTGCGTTTGTGTATGTGCCTGCATGTGTTCACATATGTACGAAATCCGTAGTGATGGCTCAAAGTACATCAAGCAGAGAAAGTAACGTTTGATCCCCTTCCTCTCCATATATATTTTTGCCATCACTCCTTTTGCACAATGTCGGATACATATCTGGTTATACTGATGAGTTTTTGTCTTAATGTGAAATTTAAATTCAACTGATAGTCGAATTTTCTTACAATTAAATAAATAGATCTGACTATGCCATTTGATTTCACTTATGTTGGGGTGACTTTCATTTCGTATAAAAGTGCATGAAGAAACGAGGAAGGAGGTCTCGTGGACGTCGTATAGAAGCCAAACTGCTGCAGTACAACGCGATTCATCCGTCCTCTTCTGGTGAGATCGACCTACGAAACTCTTCTTCATGCACTTTCATACGAGATGAAAGTCCCGCCAACACTGTCAGGAGATTCATCGAAACCCACTTTCTCTTCGTATCTACAATTTCACTTAACCTTGCCTCCAAAAAAGGTGTCCACATTCATCCCAAACTACCACTACTCCATACTGCCATGAGTACAGTGGATCACAGAGCAGACGGGAATTTCAAGGAAAGCCAGGCCTCTTCTGTATCACAGTTATAATGAAATTATCATTAGTGCAAACTTTTATTTGCCATTACAATCAATTACACAACCTATCTTCGTTTTGGGTAGTTTTCTAAACTACCAGCAGTTCTTGAATAAGGGCACTATTCAGTTGCCGCAAGACTGATAGATGCTATTAAATATTCATTTACATCGTGGGGCCTAAGCATATCATTGTGATAAAATTGATCTATCGGTCCTTTACTACCTTATGCAGCCTAAGGTGAATACACTCCTTATTTTTGATCTGCTGACCCAATACGAAAATTAACAAACTTACTTAAAAGTAGTATAAAATATTTGAGTGACATTTGGTGATATCTTATAAAAGAATATCATTGAATGCCTATTCAAAGTGACATCAATGGGATACTGTTATTTATTATTTGACTAAGAACTTTGCTTACCTCCGCCTCTCTTCCTGCCTCTTCAGCAGCCTTTAGTCGATTAACCAGTTCGTCTGTCGCTTTTCTGGCTTGTTCAGTGACAGTGGCCAGTCGGCTCTCGTTCTCAGTCTTCACGAGCTTCAACTCCTCCTTGGCATGTTCCAACTAAGCATATTTAAAAATGGATAAACAAAGTTATTTAAGATACATTCACCCTATTTCGTTTAATTTGATGAAGGACTGATAGTTGATCTTTCCCACAATAATCTGAGTAGAGCTGACGTTTCCATTGAATTTCACATAGCTTTGCTTTCCCAAAAGTTATTCTCATCCAGACAAAAGTGGACTGCAGGCTCGCCCTCGCATCGGTCTTATCAACACCCCCAGCGGAAGTCGAATCGTGACAGTGCAGCATGTGAGCTTGATACGTTAACCACTCGGCCACATTGCCACGAGTGCCCTTGGGTCATAGGGCAGATGTGAATTTCAAGAAAGGCCAGGCTTTTTGCTATATAACTTTCTTGGGTGGGATTTTTGATGAATAAAACGTATATTTTCTATTATAATCGACTGCGTTACTTATTTTTCGTATTTGAGTAGAGTTTCGAGACTACCAATAAATCAGTAATATGATATGTATTCACCCTATTTCGTATGAATCAAACGTATATTTGCTACTACCAGTCCTTAATCATCTTAACCGAAATACGGTGAATACACCTCATATTACTGATTCACTGGAAGTCTCCAAGCTCTCCTGAACTACGAAAAAATGTTATTTGATGAGTAATGATGACAATGAGGTCTCCTGGAACGAATATACACTTTTCTGATTGCTCGATTACACATTCATGAAAACTCAACTGAAATGTGAAAATCCGCTTGCAGAGTGAAGAGTAAAATAACTCGCCATTTTAACTCCTTACTCATTGGGAAGTTGAAATCTGCAAATATTTATCCCATGCCTAGTAGTGTCTAACAAACATACCTTCGAATGTAAGCGAGCTACCTCCTCCTGCAAAGAATTATGAAGATCGTTCCGATTACGCTCCATTTCTGTTAGCCGGCGATCACAGTATTCTTGCTTGTTAGCCAAGGCCAACTCACTTTTTTCTAAGGTTGATCTCTGTTCCGCTTCCACCACGGCCCACCTAGAAGGAAAGCGAAGGAAATTGGGAGAATTTAGTTATTAATTAGATTATAATTAATGAAATTATTAGAGTATTTAAAGCGAAGAATTATACTGACAACACTG